GGTTTCTGGTTGTTGTGTTAAAACACATTTCTGTGACTGGATAAAGAGCTAGATTATAACATAATTAGACTTTTCCTAATATTTCTAATTAAAATTAGCCTAATTTTCGATAAGGATTAATTATGCTTTTATTGATCGAGATACTGACATGCCAAATATATTTCACATTTTTTTAAGAATACGGCTTTTCAGACAGTGCTACAGTACAAACATTAATTTGTTTTTAACATTTTTTTCCAATTAAACAAAAACGACAGATTGATACTCCAGCTATAGTTTGGGGTTATTTCTGAATACAATTTCTTGTTTTATTGTATTGTTACGTTTCAACGTCAAAGGGGTCTTCATCAGACAAAAGTAGAATAAATGTGAAGAATATATATTTATGAAGAAAAATTGATCGATTTCTAGCTAAAATTTTTGATGTATGAACTGGTTTTCCAGAGATCCTTTCAAAAACCGATTTAGGACATTTTTCAGTAGATACTTTTGCTTATGAAAGAACAGATTAAACTATTCGCTTTTAATTGCCGCAAACCGCAAGTGTATCTTTTATCGTCTTTGAGTTATTCAAAACACATCCGAATCCACCGAATTTTTGGACAGGCAATAGGTTAGAAGAATTGATAAGTTAACATACGATGGAATTTAAAAATTTTACAGAATTCTGATAAGAATTCGGCAAGAGAGTCATATTAAATTACTATCGGCGCCAAAATACGGTTGTTTCTGGAATAGCGCCGTCACCTTGATAAATAGCGACCTGCGGTTTCCAGTAATCGAAACTAGACACTTAAAGTCAACGTCTCATAAGCAATAACCACATTCCAAAAGACTTGGAAGATCAGTTTTTCAGAGGATTTTTGGAAAATTCGCTTGGGTTTGCTTAAATTCACATAGGAATGAACTGATCTTTTTTCATGGGCTGAGAGCCCGGGTTGTTCTATTCAGAATGGGAGTAAAGAAAGACCTTCATTTTCTGCGATTCTGGTGTTGTGCCGTATTTCCGACGAGCCCCAGGACTGGCACCGATTACTCGTGGTGGTCTCAAAGACGGATGGACTACGGATAATCGACTATGCTGAGTGTCGTGGCAATATTTATTTTTAGAAAAACTTGTAAAAATCTACCGAAAAGCCAGTTTTACGAAAATTAGAGTTTTCAGGCTGTTTTCATCTAAAACTTTCTGGCGTCTAATTCTTGTCTAACTGAACGTGAATTGAGTGCAATTTTCACAAGACGTATACTATTTCCAAACTTATTTTCATTCTGATAACATTTTTCACTTGTACACATTTCTTATCCATTTACATATAACATGTGCACAGCACGTGCTATATAAATAAATCCAATAATATTGATAATTTAATCAGTATAATTACAAATTAGCGTCAAAATAACAGCACGTTCTATTTAAATCAACGACACAATGGTTATTTCATTGAACATATCATTGGCCATTCAGCAAGAAATGGGTACAACAATCAATAGTGTCAACGTTCGTATTATGATCCACAATCGAATATGTTGATTTCGATGAATTTTCAAACGAAGTCAAAGGACGAGGGGCGTTAAGGGCACTTTTCGGCCAGTCTACAGACGACTAATGAACTTGGTTTCCCTATTATGAGCCATTGGAATAATTTCAACTATTAACAATCAATTATTAGTGCTCAAGATTGTAATCCAATCGTTTATGCATATGACAGAACAACAACAGACTATCGGTTTAATGTTAAGGATTTGGAGGAGTATTATGAAACATTAAATTTAGGAAAATTAGCAGTGGGTAATCGTCTACTACCAGTCACGCCATATTTACCCTCGAATAAACTCACGTATTGTTCAAAATGTTATATATTAGGGCATACATCATTAGATTGTAATAGCCAGCATCAAAATGTCGAGTATGTTTAGGCGAGTTTACTAATAATCATAGAAATGAATGTGAAGGTCAGTTTAAATGTGCTCAGTGGGTAACCATTTCTCATTGGATGGAAATTGTCCTATGGTAAAAAACCACAGTCAAGAATTAAATAAAGTGAAACAAGCCATCGGAAATGGTGATTTAAACTATAATACACAATTAAAACAAATAAAAAAGTCAAATGAGTATCAATATGATGTAAATGCTTTTCCACCATTGATTAAAATGGATAGAAATATTGAAAATAGGTGGAATACACAAAAAACAGATAGTAATAACAATATCAATAAAAATGAAGTAGCTGATGTATTAAAGGAAATTAATAAAAATTTAGAAATGATGAACAAGAAATTAGACAATCAGAAAAGAACAATTGGAAGAAATGAAGAAAATATTAGATTAAATAAATTAGTCACATCAGAGTTACTGACTACAATGGCTAATCTAATGGGAGAAGTGGTGCTGCCATTATTGAAGTTAGTGACGAAAGGTGAAGAAGTAATGATTAAAAAAACAGAAGGTTATGCAAAAAGTCTTATTAGTATGGAGAAAAATTTACGTCTAAACTATAAATTTGACATTGTAACGGTAACGGATGAAACAAACTATATAATCTCATCATCACTATCAGAAACAGTTAAAGTGAATCCGAACCCAGTACCAACATCATCAGTAATGGCAGTCGATGATGGAAAAGAAACAGCCGAAAAGACAAGCACTTAAGTACCAGAGTAAGAAGTAAAATGAACCCATTAGCTCCCGTTTTTTTGCCTTCGTTTCTGAATAACTCTTTAGAAATTGCTAAACAAAGAATGATTCATTGTAAAATACCTGAAAAAACACGAAATAATGTAACAAAACTCTTATCAGAGTGGTATTCTAGTAGCACATTAGATAATATTCTGCGGGAATGGGAATCTTTGGGAACAAGAAATAGTCGCTCATTTCAAAGTCAACATATTCCCTTAATTTTCTTGTATTCAATGTACAAGGATGGGTACTCGTTCACTAGAGGTAGTTGACTTAATTCACAGTAAGGATGTTTCGTTTTGTGATTGTACGGAAGTAGGAGAGCTTTTGAAAAGTTTTATAGTACCAGATTTCGTTACGTTCCACCAAGAAGGTATTAATCATAGTGGCGGAGTTTGTGTAATAGTTGGAAAACATTTATAAGCAACAAGAGTCGAAACAAATATTGCAAATACAGTAATTGTGGATATAGTGGGACTATCTGAACCCATTCGAGTGGTCGGTATTTATTCGCCACACAACCAAAAACGAGATTTAAATGATCTTTGTCCATATCTAATTAAAAATACGATAAGGATTCAATGTAAGTAATGCGACAGTAGCGGGCTGGAGAAAGAACCAAATAACGGACACTCAGGGACAAATTCTACAAAAATGGATTCAAAATAAAAATTTTTCATTCATCCCAGGTACTTTTAACTCTTCTCGTAGATCTGAGCGTTACATTGACCTAACTTTTTTGAATTTTCCGGGAGTATCGGGTAAAACCTTAAAAGCAGGAACGAGTGATCACTGGCCTCTAGTTTATACATCGTCATATATTAGTTTTGAAATTTCATCACAGTTTCCAATAGTTAAATGGAAAGAATACGAAATTATTTTATGTCTCCTTCAAGATTTTCGGATGGTCCTCACCCCTTGAGTGGTACAAAGGCTATCCCGATTTTTGGTAGCCTTAAAAAATAGAGTGACATTTTATTTGGCAAAAGAGAAGTTTAGAGTTAGTCTAAAGTTTAGTTTAGACCGGCGTTACCTCATCATATACTGGAAAAATTAAAACTGGTTAGAAAATTTCGAAACTTGTATTACCGGAATAGATATGAAAGAGACAGAATAATACTTCGACAGTTATCTAGGGAAGTAAAAAATGAAATTTACAAGTATAGATCTAATAGGTGGAATATGTTTCTTAGTTCAATCCAAAAATACCACTGAAAAAAAAATGAATCATCATTTTGGTCTTATCTCGCTCGCATATATCGCTCAAAAGCCATTTCCTTCTCAAAATTATTGGTAAATAAAAGGTAGTTTCGGATGTTGCAGAAATATCTGATGAAATGTATAAATACTATAAAGAACAATTTAAAGAAGCCAAAATTAACAGCAATAATTTAAAGAAAGTTTAAATTTTATACGAATATAATGAAATCTTAGTAAAGTTAAAGACCTGTAATGAGCAAATCCTCCCAACCTCGTCACTAGAAATAAATAAATTTATTAGTAAATTAAAACCCAAGAAATCAGCAGGTTTTGATGAAATAT